TATCTCAATTGTTTTCATAACTGCTGTTTCTAATTCATGTTTTTATGTGTGACCATGATAGTGTGTTTCTGGTTCTTTTTTGGAGCATTCTTTTCTGTTGAGCTCTGAACACATAGTTAATAAGCTGCAGCTGAAATTTATTATAGAACAGGAAAGGGGCTTTCCAGTTCTGATCTACACTCATCTCCCCCAGTGTCACCTCCACACTTGGGCTTTCTCAAGTCCACGTGGTAGAGAAAATAGCTCTGTTCTAGCCCAGCTCCTGATTTTTGCCCCTCTTTCTCCAGTCTCAAGCTATCATTTCTTTTCTACATATGGTCTCAGACAGTTTTGATCTCCCCTTGGGAGGTCTCATAGGTTTGGTCTTAGTTGTTCGGCATGGATATGAGATTAATCAATCTCTTCATCTCTCCTATGGGATCTCTAGTTTTATGTTCTGGGAAGGACACAATAGCCTATGCTAGCTGGCTGTCTTACGTGGAATTAGAAATCTTTAGATAGTAGCATTAGTTAGAAATGTCTGTCATTTTGTTTCTGAAGCTGCATCTTGGTAACTTCTCCCTATTGATTGTAGTATAGTCTGTGGAACAGAACAGAACAAGCCTGTTAGAACTTCTTTTCCATAACAGTGCTTTAAATATTTAAAGATAATGATTGCTTTTTGCCCTAGAGAGTCTTGTCTAAGCTAAATGAATTTTCTTGCTTCAATAATATTTTATGGGTTGTGGTTCCTAGAGTCAAAAATCTCTGAAACACTCTTCTGAATAGAGTTTAATTTGTCAATTACCATCTTTCCTTCCACTCATCCAACAAATAGTATTGAGTGTGTACTTCATTTGATGCATTATACATCTCTTAAAATATGGCATCTGGATCAAGATATCTACTTGAGATGTGGTTGAATTAAAGCCAGTGGCTGTTATTTCTTGGAATTTGGTTGTTATTCATATATTATTAAATCTTTAAACAATTGTACTTTAATTTCTTAACTTATTAAACTAGGTTATACGTTGTGCCTCTGCTCTCACCTTGAGGCCAGATTAAGCACTTAAGAACTTCCACTCCGCCCTCCTTAGTAGACCTCTTCCCAAATCTAACCTCCAAAGCATTGTTGAGCAATGCAAAATTATATTGAATGTTTTCTGTGGACATGGAGGAGAGGTTTATGTCACACTCAACTTAGTGAATCTTCATTAAAAAAAAAAAAATTTACTTTAAACATCTGTCATTCTCCCCAAAGTTCCTCTTCTCACACTAGCTGAATCCTTCTAGTCATTCCACAAAATCTTTCACCCTTTTTAAGGTCTCTTAAACGTTCTGATTCCAGCCAGCTTCTTCCTAGACATCCTCATGCACTGCCCCTGCAAAGGAAAATAAAGTCTCCTCCTTGGATTTACCCTTCTTAGAAGTAAGGGCATACTCTAAGCAACATATAATCTTATCTGTTATGATAGTGATTGTCATGGATTGAATTGTGTCCCCCAAATATATCTGTCAACTTGGCTAGGTCATGATTCCTAGTATTGTATGA